TTGCTGCTGTGATAAATTGTTGACCAATGTTAATCCACATCAGTCAAGTGTGACTTTAAAGGACAACGGTCAGATCGTATGATCAACACTCAGACACTCCTTTGACCAGTGACCATAAAAGTCCACCTTAAAATGCAACTTTATTCAAATGACACGATGCCACAGCAAGAGGAAGGTTGCCGGTTCGCATCCCGGTGGGGACGCTGGGATCTTTCTGTGTGGAGTTTGCATGTTCTCCCCGTGCACCGTGGGTTGTCTGTCTCTAAGTGTAGCCCTGTGATAGACTGGTGACCTGTCCAGGGTGTCCCCTGCCTTCACCCTAAGTCGGCTGGGATAGACTCCAGCCCCCCCGCGACCCTAGTGAGGATTAAGCGGTGTATAGAAAATGGATGGATGGATGGATAGATAATGGATGGATGGATGATGCCACAGTTGGCAAAAGAAACAAAAAAATGGGCTGTTGGCTTCTGGTATGTTAATTAAGGCCACAGCCAGACACTTGGGTGTCCACAACTCCAGCATTTGTCACCTGAGGCCGAGCTCACACTCCAGGAGTTTTAAAAATCTGAGCAGACTTTGAAATTAAACCCATCATGAGAAACTTTTAAGCCTTGATCCATAAACCTCTCACATTTACAGATAGTCTGAGCCTAAAATCAGTTCAGACCAAGATCCCCGGCCAGATTTCAGTCCCAAAACTTCCCAACCTCAGAAACCTTTAACAGCATGATCCTGTCCCCCAAAACTTCTGCTAATTTCTCCAAGCACTTCAGGAAGAGTGGGACAACAGTCACAAACATTATCTCTGTTTAGCTCAGTAATTCACAAGCTGACTTGTAAATTCTGGTCTATGATGGCACTCTCGATCTTCCCGTTATCATCTACATGGTTGTTTCATTAAGTTGTCAAGATACCGTGTGTTGCAAGAATAAAAACTTGCTCCACGATGTTTAAAAAAAAAAAAAAGCAATTTAGTATGAATGCCTCAAGCCAAGTAGGTCACCATTTTTTATATAGCACGCTAAAAACAGCAGCTGTCAAGGCTTATGTGTACGACTGGAGGAAGGTTTAGGCCCTAAGAGTAAAGAGAGGCTGCTTTCAAAAATAACGCCATGAATCACAGTCCAGTAAACAGAAAACAGGGCATCAAATCGATATCTTAAAGTGTCTCAGTGCTGTCTCCCCACCAGGGTCCGCCTCCCTCCGTTTGTGCCAGAGTATAACAGAGTGTTTCTGTTTTTCAGATCCCCCTAAAGTAGCAGTTCTTGGCAGCTGTAGAGGAGGATCCAAGAATAAGTGGAATGATCCTCTCGTGCTCCCGATGAGCCCCTGTTCACCGTCGCAGCTGAGTCTAGTGGAGGGCCAGTCTGAGAGCAGGTAGAGCTGCACTGTTGGTTTGACTCAATCCAGCAAAAACTGGTATGGAATTATATTTGTGCCACAATCCTGAGCACGTAAAGCAGGGGTGGGCAATCCTGGTCCTCGAGGGCCACAGTCCTGCATGTTTTAGATGTTTCCCTCTTCCAACACATCTGATTCAAATGATCAGCTCATCATCAAGCTCTGCAGAAGCCTGATGGCGATCTTGATCATTTGGCGTAAAGTGACATTTTGAGCGCAGAAAACAATCTTGAGCAAATAAAAACTTAAACTGATCAAACGAAACTCTACTCTGTGCTCAAAACTATCACTGCTGTGTTTGCAACTATCAACATACGGTTTTGTCATTTACGCTTTCGCAGATCTCCATTCTGTGCACTCAACGACACAGTCACGCTCGCCCGCGGCGTCTTTCTCGCTCGCGCACGACGACACTGATGATCTGTTCAAGCTGAACTCTGTCTGCACATCGTTACGAATGTGCCACAAAAGCAGCCCTGGGTGGCTGATGCTATCCAATCAGGTGGCTATTTCGAAAGCGCTGTGAAAAGTGACAACAAAATAAAGTGGAGTGGTGCGATTAATGCGGTGTTATAATACGTTTTCGGTGAGTTTGAAAAATATATATATATATATATTATTGTATTATATATAACAAAGACTATTTTGTCATCCTTGTTTAAGTAGCTCAGGCTGGCCAAAAAATATTTCAGTAACACCAACCACTGTACCGTGGTGCACCATTTTCATGTTGCTGTTCAGGTTCTCAGCTTGGCCAGCCTGAGCTACTTAAACAATGATGACGAAGAATAGAGTTTCATTTGCTCAGTTTAAGTTTTTATTCGCTCAAGATTGTTTTCTGCGCTCAAAATGTCCCTTCACGCGCTCAAGATTGTGGCACAAATATAATTCCATAAACTTGTTGCTCTGCAGCTGTTGTGCGGTTTTAAAATGTAATACCGCAATAATAGAATCTTCATTAACCACAATGCATACAGAGGAAATGATCCAACGCTCACTGTATGTTTTCTTGGTGATATCTAGCGTCCAGGGAAGCAGAAAGAGAACGAATGTTATTCCACAAGGATTCAAGTGTCGGCAGGTTTGTCACTTTACTGCTAATCTCTGTCATTTCTGTTTTTACAAAAACCCTTTTAATGTGAACAAAACTAAAGACTCTCTCATATTATTCTGTGAGCTCTCACCAGTGATGGAATCAGCTTTTTCAGACAACAGCGCGTCCGACTACCTGCCACTCATACCCGGCCCCTCCAGCCCCTTCTCCTCCAACTCATCTGCCTCCTCACGCCAAGGTTGGGCGTTTAGAGAACAAACTCCCATCAAAGACTATTACGCGGTTTATTTACTTTGCATGAACACTGACCAAATAAACCTGCTCTCCTCAGGAGTATTTCCCCTGCAGCTGAAGCTACAGAAGCAAAACCAGTTCCAGCCTTCGATCCACTACTCCCCGGCACCCTGGGACACCTCAGGTCGACAGCAGGATATGGTAGAGAAAAAGACAGTATCGCAAATTAATATAGCACCAATACTTTCCAGTTATAATTGCAGTTCTTACACAGACATAAGAAGATTTTAACTTGCATATAGCGGGTGATTGCTGTGTGTGCATGTGAAAACAAAATTCCACGCAGAAAGATCCCGGGTGTCCTCACCAGGACGTGAACCAGTGACCTTCTAGCTGTGAGGCAACAGTGCTAACCACCGATCCACCTTACAGCCCCTAAAGAGAGCAGCAACGATTAATTCACTAGTTGTTCTCTGACAAAATAAGAGCTCACTCTGTAAAAATTAATTGGTTTGAGGAATTCTCTAATTTTAGCTCCTTAAATTTGAACATTTTCTGGTTTCTCTCCTCTTTATCTGTAAAGTAAATATCTCTGTGTTTGTGGGCACACAAGACATCAGAGGGCGTCATATTGGGGTCTGGGAAACACTGATTTTCACCACTTTTGGACATTTTATAGTCCAAACAACATCAAAAACATAATCGTCGATTGTAGCCATAATAATCAGACTTCCTTTTCTTAGTTTCAGCCTTTCTCTCAGCCCAGAGGTATGACAGATGCTGTTCCCTGGTCCTGTGGATCAAACTTCTTCCAGCTGGAGACCCCCACAGCTGCTCAGGTCCTCTTTGGAAGTACAGAGTGAGAGCAAATTATAATTCACGTGGTTTATTTTCCTGCTTTTTAAATTTTTTTTTGCATTTTGTGAAGAACATGTGTGTTCTTGCAGTGAAACTGAGGCAGGAGACCGTTCAGAACAAACGACCACCTTCTGTCTCAACCAACCAGAGGACGACGAGTCCATCCTGGACTTCATGCTCAACCAGTCGGACACTAGACAGCAGTTCGAGGAGGACGTCTTCAGCGGCTTCAGTCATGAAGAATACGAAGGTGATTACAACTTGTAACTTTCACGTAAGCACGACAACTTTCTTTCCTTCGTCTGATGAACATGAAATTTAATTTCAGCTTCTCGTTTTGGGAGTGCAAAGTCAAAAATATACCTCACAGACGAAAAATCAATCAGGTCCTCAACACCGCAGTAAGTGTTTAGTCTTCAGATGTAACGACACACTTCAACATGCTTTAAATGAGTTTTTAAAGGTGGGTTCTCTTTCTTTGCTACCAGAACTGTGCCTGATTCACAGAGCATGGAAGCAGAGGTAAGAGCCCCTTATACATGAGTGTATAATAGTAGTATGTTACTGCCACCAAATGGTAGAGTTTGTAACTGCAATGGAAAGAACAGAATTAGTAGAAAACAAGCAGTAAACATGCACTAAGTTGAAATGGGTTTCCATTATCATAAACACTTTTTGTTAACTTGTCCTTATGGGAGTGTTTATTTAAAGTGTACAGCTGCAGCGTCAGAGGCCTTTTCTGTTCTATTCACAGCTCTCCAACTGCACCGACGGGAACTTCTGTAAGTGTCTCAAGCATCTCCAATTAAGCCACTCGTTTACTGTGCATATGTTGGAGGAAGGACAAAAGTGTGAATAGATGTCCCCTTTAATCCCACAGCATGCCTCGGACCCTACACTGGGGCCGTGAATGGCTGCGACTGCTCGCCAAATTACTCTTGTGGAGGAGGTTACTGCAGTTCACACTCACATGATGTATGGGAAGTTCCACTGGGAAGTTTTATCCAACTTTCTGGAGTACTGTGATTACAGCGTCCCCTTTAAACTTTTAAGTGTATTAACCATCTGAATACCAAAAATGACTGCTAGCTTTAAAAAAAAATCATCAAATTTACACAATTCATCATAGGTACACACTGTAAGAACAGAAAGCGTCATCAGATTTTTAACTTTCTTAAGGTTTTTTTAAGCTACTCATTGGTGTCATGATGTGCAGCTGAAAATTTAGAGCGCTTAAAATTGTGATATTTTATCAAAATCCCTCTATTCCACATGATTAATTAAAAATAAACTGAATTAATATAAAGTGTAAGTAGTTAAATGTCTCCATTATGTTGACCTTTACAACTAAAATAAATATTTTACATGTTGAGGAAATAATTTAAGAAATTCAACTTTAGTTTTTTTTCCTTTTTTTAATGATTAATGGTATCATAACTGTGTCATACTGCACAGAATACATCTCTGCGTTCTCTCCACTTCTAGCCAAGGTTATGCTGTTTCTGTAGAGGTGCAGGATTTAGTGAAAAATGAGCCACAAATTAAGATTAATTCAGGTTAATATAGATCAGTGTAATGACCTTGCCAGAGAGGCATTCTTAAATCAAACCATCATAAACTTTAGCCTTAATTTTTTAAAACTCAGCTCTGATTAATGGTGCAGAATGTTCTCTGCTCAGTGCCACAGATTTGTAGTTTTGCCCTGAACAAAAAGCTGTTTTATCTAAACCCTGCTGTTTTCTCCTCTTCTATCTGTACATCAGGAGGACGACTGCTGTCAGCCATGTCTCCAGGCTGCTTATGCAGAGCAAACATGTGATGCAGGAGCCTTAAACACAAACAACAGCTCCCTGGGGAACCCAAAACAAAGCATCTGTGCACCGAGGCCTCTCACACCTCTAATACAATCCAAAGTGAACTTCAGAGATGATCAAAAAGTTGCGGAGAACATGGCCAGCCCAGATAAAGCTTTTGGAAGCTGCATCCAGCCGATAAGAAGCAGCGCAGCTCTGTTTTTATCTCCTCTATCTCCTCCTCAAAGCTCGTGCAAATGCAAGAAAATACCCCCAGAAACTCGAGATGCTGGAACTCAAACTGCGTCCAATCAAAGGGCGGAGACGTGCGACGCCTCGACTCAGTGCGTCTTTGTTGCAAAGAGCAAAGCGGCTCCCGGCTCGCGTCGACCACCTGTTGACGTGTCGGAGCAGCGTCTAGCCACAGAGAGGCAGACTGGCACCGCTGCAGAGCCGGATGCTCTCACAGCGTCATCAGAAAACTCCAGGAGCGAAGGGAAGCAGATGCCCCGGAGCAGCAAGAAATCGAAGCCCGGGTACCGATCAGTCATTATGAACAAATTCCCTGTGAGTAACTGTGGCAAAATGATCCTACAGAGACCGACAAACCCCTTTCTGGATGCTGTGAGCAATGGCAGAGGTACATGCGAGTGAAATGTTCAACATTCGCTTAGTTAAGACTGATTTTCACTTTTAAATGTGGCTTTTAAATTAAGGTAAGAACGGAGAGGATGAGAATCCGACGAAAGCTCCGTCAGCCGAAGGGAAAGACGAGGTCGCGTCTGGAGTTACCGGACTCTCAGAGGAGGCCGAGACACTTCAGGAAATAGCCGACATTTTGCTCCTGCTGAAGAAGAGGAAGAAGGAGGGATGAGGATGGAGGAAAGGTAGATGGATAAAAAAACAAGCGACAGGAAAAAAAATCTGTTCTACGGTGTTGTTTTAACAGTTCGTCGTTTTAAGCACCAAAACCACACAAGTGTTTGTTCTTAACGTTAAATAAAACCCCAAAGCTTTCCTCTGATTCATAAGTTTATTTCTTTCCCCATATACATGAGATTTCATGAAGATATTCATCTTTATATAATATAAACTCTAGCAAAACATTTACAGCTCCAACGATAATCAAATATACTTTACAGCACTCTTATTTATTAGTGTTTTTTTTTTTTTTGTAGTTCCTGGTAAACTTTAGAAACACACGTAATTGGTTCACATAGAAAAAAATTGCAACCATTTCACCATAAGTACACATCGAATGCCCTCCCCCGCGCACACACACACACACACACACACACACACACACACACACACGCACGCTGTGGTCGGGGGAGGACGGTGTTAACACAACTGGATGTTAAGGGCCGAACACCACGTTATCTTGGACAGCCGCAAACAATCACGGTAAATATTTGGTCGACACAAGTTTTCATGTACACAATCTGTGTTACGGACAGCTTGATCTGTGTGTGTGTGTGTGTGTGTGTGTGAGTGTGTGTGTGTGTGTTCAAATGTAATAATACTTTCAGTACAAAACTAGTTTGTGTGGTTTTAAGACAGCTCCTCCTCGACAAACACTTAAAAGAATACGCTCATATTCTGAATTAGAGTCGGCAGGATTGTTCTCCACCTCAGCTGAAAGAAATATTTAGTTTGTATTTCTTTACTACAATTCATAATGTACAAAAACTGGTCCGAGTTCGTCGTCTTTCCTTCGTCCCACTGGCTTTTAATTCGACTATTGTGCAGCCCCATAGCAACAAATCACAGGAGCTTTACGATATTGGCGCTGATCGCTTTCCAAAGCATGCGTTTCAAAGTTTTTGTTAAAATGCTGTGATTTTATATGTGTTTCAGGCAAGTTTAATCAAATCATAAGGCTGAGGATCGATCCAAAAATGTGCGGTATGCTTTGGAAAACGATCAGCAGCTTGTAAAATAGAATGATTTGTAAATAAAGGGGTGACTGTGGCTGTTTGAAGCGACTTTTTGGGACAGCTGAGGATGCTCGTAAGATACAGTTAGTGTGTCGCCATCTATGGGAGGAATTTGGCTCCTTTTAAACCGATTGATCGTCTCCATCGGCATCCGTGTGACACCTGGAAAATACCAAAATGATCCCAATACTCGATGTAAATACCGCGGGTCACTGAAGATGTTGATGGCAAAAGGTATTCAACTTTTATGAATCACACCGGATTAGGACCGCCTCAGCAGCAGCCTGTTGATTCCTTATTTACCTGCTTCGTTTAGTTACACAAAATGACTCTGTTGTCTACCTTCCAACTGTTTTTTTGTTTTTTTTTAATTTATTTATTTTGCTACACAGAGACCTATTTGACTAACAAGGTGCAACCTCCCACAGTTTTACAAGGTTTACAAAACAACATTGGCAAATTACGCTAAAGCCTACTCCTCGACGTTTGACACGAGAAACCACATAAATGATATGCTCTGCTATTTGTACAGAAGGCTATGGAGGAAGACAAATATACATAAAATTATGGTAGAAAAAAAAACAAACATTGCATCACAGCAAATATGCACAAATAAATAAAGCTACAGGGAATGTGACTGAAATAAAATGGCCGTTAGGCACCTTCACAATACACAGGCACTAATATTATCATGTTCAGATACTTAAAAATCTCATTTGTCGAACTAAAGTTTTACTTTTAACGCTACGGTCTTCGCTGGATACTCGGTATATCCAGAAATAACTACTAGCGATGGTTCATCACAGGCAGGTTGGGCTAAACTGCAGTATTACGCTAAAAAAAATTTCCGAAGCAGGATAACAATAAAATGTAACTTAAAAAAATAAAGCAATCTGTAAAACCTATTAGAATAAATACATAAATAAACAAACCACAGCAACACAGTTCGTCCTTTCAGCGGTTTTGTTTAGGCGCCCACTGACCGTAACGACACGCTGTGCATCTCTGGTGATTGCATTTCTTCAAAAAAAATAAAAAATAAATATCAAGACCGACCACAAACTGAAAACTGTCATCATGAGGAACTGGCGTTAGTGTGCTACGCTACTAGCCGACATTTAACCGAGACGCGTCTCATACAGAAAGGCATAAATGGTACTACAGATCGACGACGGCCAACAAAAGTTTTGCACAAACCTGGTTTCCGGAAAAAACCACATTTACTGCACCTTTTTCAATGGAGTTCTGACACGATGCTCTGGGATAGCTTATATACTTTATGCACAACGTCATATATTGATGATATTTAAACAGGTGTACAAAGTATTAGGGGCGTTTTCCCGACTTGGTGAGAGAGGAGAAGCCCCTTATAGTTTGTGTAATTAACGTGTCTCTGTGGAAAAACACACTGGACCTCGATGCATGTCTGTTGTGGGTGGACAAAGGCAAAGACTCTTGTGGTTGAGATACTGGTTGACAGATCAGGCGTCAGTTCACCTTCAATTCAGAGAATAAGCTGAACATTCACACTCCTGCTAAAGCGTCGCCACAGATTTCCTGAACTGACTGATTTGAAAGTGAACCAACCGACAGAAGCGAAGGGTCTTTTAATCTGTAATTCTTAGCCGCACACTGAGGGTAACTCCTCAGATCACACACAAAAAAAAGAGATAAATAATTCAGACCCAACCTCTCTGCATGTTTCAGCAAAGCAACGAAACACCCAGAGGGAGGTTACCAACGCCCCCCCCACTAGTCCACGTCTGACGCGTCGTTGTCCGATAGATGGTAGTTTGAACCTTTGACTCGAATGTACTCGACCTGCCGTCCTTCGTCCGAATCCGAGGCGCCGCACGAACAGAGCTGGTTTTCAAACAGCGCCTCGATCTCCTCCAGACGCCGGGCTTTAGTCTCTGGCAGGCAGCCATAGATGAAGACGAAACCCAGCAAGGCAAGGCTGGAGTAGAGGAAGAAAGCTCCTAGAATGAAAAGAACACACCGTCACAAAGGACAACCACCCACAAAGACATGAAAACACAGCGGCACAACTTTTTATAAATAAGTTTTTCCTCATGCGCTGCCAGAAAAAGAATCGCCGATGGTGACAGCAGATCCTACGGGCGGCTAATATTGGATGTGAACTGCCCACGCGCCTCGACGGAGATGTTTGTGTGCGCTGAAAAATGGAAATGTTTCGCCAAACTGAAATATTGCTTTCAAAACTGTCGGTGGCCATATGATAAATGTGGAGCATAAGCAACATGCCCCCCCGTCAAAGTGCCATTACAGCAAGGTTAACGGGAGGAAAAATAACTACCCAACACGACTCCAACGCACCTGGAAATAAGCGTTCGCACGGAAAGAGTGACAGAGGTTTAATGAGATTTTCCCGGCCATTGTGATATCCATTTTCTCCTTGTCAAAGCCGAATGACATTCTAAGGTTACAATCAAGTCTTTGCGTTATGCTAAATATCATTTCTATGATAATATCAGTACGTTTTTCCAGCTTTGACGGAGTTTTTTCTCGTCTCGCTGAATGATTGTTATCAACCAGATGAATGGGTGAATCGATAATTAACCCAGTGCGTCTCAGGATGCCTCCACAGTCACCCCTGATGGATCAATTTCTAGCTCCACGAAAGGTCAGCTCCCTCCTGTCTGAGGAGAAACCTGCTGCTGAGCCACGCCGACCGAGGAAGTATTCAAGACAGCTGGGGAAAAAAACTTCAGGGTATCCGTCAGCTGTTACCTGACTAGCTGGTCTTACCGTGGGGTATACGGTTGTTACCCAAGATCTGGTGTTGCTTAAGATGTGACGGAATGAGGTGAGGACAGGATAAAGGATGAAAAACTCCTTAAGCTAACTGGTTTGCTGACCGTAGTAGGTGAAGTACTGAGCCAGGTGCAGGAAGGTGAGCGACACCAGGATGTTGAAGGTCCAGTTGACTCCGGCGGCGCAGGCGTTTCCCGTGCTCCTGGCCCACAGAGGGTAGATCTCGGAGTTGATGGTCCACGGCATCGGACCCATACCTGGGAGAGAGAGGAACGAGAAATGAGAGGTGAGCCTGGTGGGAGATGGAGAGACGTTTTAGAACAAGAAGACAGATGGAGGAATATATTGTGTTTTTGTGAAAGGCTCCAGCTCGGAGATTGCATCCCTGCATGGAAATAACTGTTGGGATGTCAAGGGAATGGATATTCCAGTAGCAAGTTGATACCAAAGGCTCAAAACGGTACATATTTTATATGGTGCCGATGCAGGGCTGCCACTAACAAAGGTTTACATGTTAAAGTGCAAAATTGTAGTTAAACTGGAAGCTCCAACGTGATAACATGCATTTAAAAAGCAGCTTATTGTTTAAGTCATAACTCCAAGAGAAGTCTGAGTTTCTGTCTTTAACAAAAAGTTCAATCTGCACATTTAACATTAGACACAGAGCAGCTGATGCAGATGCTTTTCTTTGGTAGTCGCTTTGAATTCCATGTAAATAAAGCAGAATCCATAGTAGAGCTGCAGTCCTCAACTGTGGTGAGTGTTTCAGATGAAAAAGACGTCACAGTCGTAAAATCCGGAAGCAGCGGCTTTTAAGTGACTCCTGGTAAACATGTTGTCTTAATGTTTCAGTCACGATGTCCTCCTCATTCTGTCGTCTGACCACAGAAATAGAAAAATACGTAAATGAAAACAGCTTTATTGGTAATTTGGCTGCATTAACATAAAGTAGAAATGAGCACAGCGAGTAGGAGAGAAGCTTACTGCACCGAAACTGTGCTACAAACCAGGTTTTTACGCCCGGTGACAATCTGAAGTTCTCCCATACGTTAGAGTCTTTGGAAACTCTTACACTGAACTGAGTTGGACTTTGCTGTAGCTTCCAAATATGCATTAAAACCCCCAGAAAGTTGTTTTAGTAGATGATCAGGGAGCAGTTATAGGCGATCAAAAACTGTCACATTAAGAACAAAAGGCAGGAAACACATCAAACTTACCCAAGAACCTCAAAGACAAAATGTGTACACAGCATTCCGGCTCAGAGTGTTTCAGTTGTTGCATTAAATTAACTTGTCATCACAGTGTTCACTTCCTGAAGCGGGACTGTTTGTGAACTGCAGTAGCTCCATCTGTTGCAGCAGAGCTTCACGCCGAACGCTCACGGAGGCTGACGTTTTTTAAAAACCCAGATGAAAGTCCTCTCAAGCAAACTAGAGGTTTAGAACACAGTGTTCCTTCGTTTTAAACACTTGAAGGCTGTGTTTGGTTGGGGTTTTTTTTTTTAATCTTAACCTTCTTTCATACACTTACGACACCTGGAATGTTTTGCAACCATTTTTATGTGTCAGCATGCAGTAGAAATGTTAAAAAGCACTATATTGGTTTTAAATAACAGGAATGTTTTTTCCTCTTACTTTAAAGCTCAGGTTTAGTTTTTGGTATCATATCGGAACTGCTACCTAGAATTTCGATGGAATTGGTACCGACTGCCAAATTTCTGGTATCGTGACATCCATAATTCAAAGCTCTATTACGCAACTCACATTTGTAGTCACATCGACAGTCACGACAGAAACAGTAACGATGCAAAGAAGGTTGAACACAATTCATCTGCTTCTTCATCACTTAAAGCTGCCGATTAACAGGTTGGATGCTGTTACGAAGCCTCCGAGTCTGGAGCAAACCACACGCTTTGCTTTGCTCGGTCACATCCGAGTGTAAAAACCTTAATTTCCTAATTCTTTTCTTGTAGATACAGTAAAAGCAAGTCACACCTGTCTTTTTAATCACCAAACATTAAGACAAGCGTCGCTGGGATTAGGAAACTCACGGGGTTTGACTCAGAGGCTGTGTAAAGCATCCAGCTGATGTGGGAAGAGAGTTTTGTTTGTTCAGCTGAGTGTTTCATCAGATCGGCAATCCTCCCTGTGAAGGACACCTGAAGCCAGAGCTAGCAGGATTACCAAGGATCCTCACAAACCTTGTAAGCGCTGAAGCAAACACATCCGTAGCCGGGAGGATGACTTTGGTGTGTCGTTGTAGCACATTTGCACGCGTTTTACTTTTTCGTATATAACACGTTACCCTTCGTAAATAGCAGAAAACTTTATTCTCTTACCTGGAGCAAAGGCAGCCAGGTAGAACATGAGGCCCAGTAGAACCAGCCAGGAGTAGGAGGTGGGACAGTAGTTGTAGGCCCAGTAGGTGTGATCTCTCATCAGGGAGGAGTTGGAGCATCTGGAGGAGTTTCAAGGTGAAATGTGTCGTTTCAATTTTCGCATTCTAATCATAATCTTTTTTCTTTTTTTTCTTTCCCTGCCACGCTGCGCATCCTGTGACTCACCTGCCCCACGCTGCTTGCTCGGTGGAGGCCTTATTGACGGGAACGCAGGAGGAGGTGAGCAGCGCCGAGCTGTTCTCGCTGTAGCAGAAACCGCATCCAGGGTCCAGCATGCACGGCTCGCACAGCCTGTGAGCCCAACAGCACACGCATTAGCTGTAATTCACCTCAACGCGATCAATCAAACTGCACGTCGGCTCCTCAAGCCAACACATTCCTTCACTTTTTTTTATTGCTGTTCTTTTGACTTTGTGCTAAAGAATACTGATCATCTAAAACTTATACTGCATGCTACTAAATGACAGAAATCAGCTTCCCACCAGTTTAATTGAGACTTCCCTCATCACCACAATGAATTGAATGTTCCCCACATGCTGGAAGTAGTAAATCAAAATTAAGAGAAAAAAAATACGCTGTGTGTAGGATTCACTGTCATCTTTTTGTTTCTCTTCACGTCATATTTCATGAGTGAGTTTTTCATGAGCGGGTTTCAGACTCCCTGACAAGGCCGTGCTGTATTCTCCCAAGCGTTTTCATCCGGTTTGATGTTTTTTATGCCTGATGAAGCGCATGGGATGTGCGTTTTGTTTCAGAGGTCTATTTTTGCAGGCGGCAGCCTCCCTGCGTACGGGCCACCTTTCTCTAATTACACACCGAGGTCAAGGACTGAAATAGCGGCAGGTGTTTGTACGTAAATAATGTGGGAAGGTGAGGAGGGAGATGCGGCAACGTAGCTTTAGCTGAGACACAGTTTTAAAACGTACTGTAATATAAATGTACTCTGATCGGCCACAATAGTAAAACTACTGACAGGTAATTTCAACAGTTTCCTTGAGGTTTCCACCAAAGGGATCAATAAAGTTCTCTTCTATTCTATTCTATTCTATTCTAGTCTAGTCTAGTCTATTCTATTCTAGGTGACGTCAGTGACATAATACTCTGAGTCCCAAGACTCACAGGTGGGTTTAAAATGCAGTTGTTGTTTTTTTTTAATCACGAAAATGACACCATTTGTCAGAGCTGGAGAACGAATTTTCAACAGTCCTTGAATTATTCATCTGTGACATACCGTTCCATCAGAAAAAACAACTAAACCTAAATATAACATCCCAACATTTCATCAAAATCACTTCATTCTACATATTTCATTTAAAAAATAGCCAAAAAACAGACTGAACAGATTGTATAAAAACTAAAAATTCTGCAACTTCTTGGCTGAACTGCAGGCTGTGTTTACAGATCACACAAGACATTTTTGAGTTCTCCATATTCTAGTCATGGTTGTTTCCAAAGAGGTGCTGGACTTTATAGTGCAGTAAAAAAAACGAGGCCACGGTGAGTGAAGATACGACAGGAGCAATGAACAGAAGCCGCTTGGGGTTCAGAGGGTTAATTATCTCATTAGAATGCGATGCTCGGCTGAGAAACCTCGGTACCTGACATTTATGCAGACGCTGCTTTGACCCCAACACCTAAACATTGTGGCAGAACGAACACACCACCACAATCCTAACAGCTCACTTTACCAAAGTCAATGCAATCTGCCACACCACAAGAGCTGTTGAGGTATGGCTGGAGGAACCCAAGGTGTTGACCTCCAAACCCAAGTAAGAAGATGTGCTTGGTCTCCTTTATGGAGAAGGGAGTCAAATCCTGAATACATCCACCTTATTAAAAAGCACACGCATCGACTTTCTTTAAAGGTCAACATTTCGTTCACGAGGACCTTTCTCAAGACATATCAATCATAACATGACATTAACTACAGCTCATAATTAGACAGTCCACAGCTGTGGTAGAGGTGTATCCTGCACACTCAAGATTCCCTCAAAGCACATCTTTAATCCTCTTGATCTCATCAAAAGGAAAACACCTCTTCAAAGCAGCAGCATATGTACATATTACAAGACATAACCCGCATCTGCAATGCAAATGCCGCTTGAGTTTCCACAACCCTCAAATTTATCCAAATACGACGCTGTAACCCAGCTCGCTCGGGGAAAAGGAAGCAACAAATAAACAACCAGATGGTCACGGTTGAACCTAAGTTGATTGTGATTTTAATGAGAAGTGGGTCTTTTGGGATAACAAAAAAAAAAATTCAACCCAGATTACATAAAGAGGAACAGAGGGCGGTGGATGCAACTCAAAAAAAGATTAATATAAACAAAAGAAACACTTCTGTCTAGAACTTTTAAGCTCACCCACCTAATCTGTTTCACACCAGAAGAATTTCAATTCTAAAAAACTAAACAAAGCAAACCAAAAAGTTACAGGTGGGAGTAGGAGCCACGTCTGATGTCTAGACATTCACTTGGTCTGCAATTTACCAAGCTATACTTACCAAAAACCCTTTAACCAGACCCAGTGTCCAGTGACAAGTGTCTCATGCGTGTACCCAAATGTTATTCAGATCTACTCTGAACGCAGTCCAAGAAACACAAAACAAACACAGAGGCAAGCTGCTCACACTGAATCAAAGCTGCTCAGAGTGACAGGTGGCTTTGATGATGAGCATAGCTTGATTAAAGACCAATGTTGGGGTACTGGTCTAATCAGTACAAGTAGGAGAGTAGGAGCGGTCAAAGCAACAGGTTGAGCAGGGTCCAAGTGCAGACACCCATCGGAGACAGAGGCTTGCACATGCTAATTTACATATTAAACCGGGAAATGATTAATCATACCGAATAGGAAAATGAGCACAACAACCCAGTGCCTCAACATACATATAGAGCACAAAAAAAACCATTTTCAGGACCCACCGAAGAGACATATTTTATATTTGGTAGCAATTTCAACAGGGATGTTTCCAAAAGAACTTGCATTAATCAAAACAATCAAATAGAAAAATATTTAAAAGGAGGCAGGACATATCCTGACAGTACCACACAGAAGACGTCCATCTCTATACAAGATATTGTAATGGAAACTCTCTTTAGCTACGTTGTCCAGTTGCTTCTGGCTGCCTGGCAAACCTCCAAAGGAAGGCACCCAGCATGTGTCCTACTTGGATGCCCCAAGCACCTCAGGAGGCTCCTTTCGATGAGAAGAAGCAGTGACCCTACTTCGGACTCCCTTCAGACGTCCAAGCTCCGTACCCTACTTCTAAGACTGAGTCTACCAACCCTATGGAGGAAACTCATTTCAGCCCTATGTATCCACAACCTCATTCTTTCGATCACTACCGAGAGCTAATAGCCATATGTGAAGGTTAAAACATAAAGGTTGGGTCAGTTAAATGATTGGCCGCTAGCCTTCCTAGATCCCAGTTTGTTGAGTATCCATCCATGGGATGTACCAGAACAAGCCGGATCCATGGAGGCCTCATGCTGCAACCCACAGGACTCAAAGAATTTGCTGCCAATGTCCCAGTGCCAAACTCCTCAGGACAAACCCCAGAGGTCCAGTGTCGATGAACCATGATGTTTTGGTGGCACAAGGGACATCTAGACAGTATCAGGGAGGTGGTTTTAATGTTGGGGGTGATCTCTAGCTATGTATAGCATTAGCAAAGCTACATGATCTATCGCTTGATCAGTCATAGAAAATCCTGTTTGTTCAGTTTTTTTTTTTGTCGTTCTGTCCTGTACATGAATGCTGGACTTCCTTTCAAAATCGTCCCCATCTGCATTAATATTTGCTGAGGGAGCTGGTACTTTGGTAAATGTAGCGCAAACCTTAGTACGTCAATATCACGTACAGAAGCATTAAGTGCATACTTGTTCTTAGGGACTACAAAAGTTAGCTGGAGACTGTTTTCAACCAACACTGTCCCCTCGGAATAGTAACCTATGCAGAGCTTAAGTCATGACATAACAGGCCAACGTCTCTTCCATACAAACATCGAATGGAGTGTTTTCTTACTTCAGCTACAGAGACAGGCTTGTCGTAGTGAAACCCGAGTAAGAATCCATCCTTAAATGGGACATCCCATCCACATTGAGAGCCCGGCGGCGGCTCTGACGCTCTCCTGATGCTGCTGTGGTCAGCGATGGGATGTGTGGGAGCAAAGTGAACTCGATGAAGTCATTCTAGTGTGGTAAAAGCACTCATCTCTTCAAATTACCCCTGTGTTTGTGTGGTGCCGTGTGTTATGGTGTGTGGGCGCTGGACAGTGAGTCCATTAGGCGTTGTTTGTCGTTATGATGAAAGACCGACGTTACGCATGAGCTTCATCTCGTGTCGGTGTAAGTGAGAGTAAATTGGGACATAGAGGCATCTGATCTCTGCCTCGCATGAAAACACTCTCAGGCTCGCTGTGTGTGTGTGTTTGCCCTTTGTTCGCTGAGGAAGACAATGAAGTGAATTGTTGCTGGTTTTGGATGGGGATGACATAGCCATGAACAATATTTACACAGCCATTTCCATGACGACCCTTTGTTTTATTCAGTTGTTAATAAATCACCCAGGGGCCAGAGGAAACACAGAGATAAATGTGTGTGGAATAATATGACTGAGGCCTTTTGGAATATGAAGCTGTGTATTTAATATGCAGACAATGTGATGAGCTGATCTTCCAGGTGGGTGTAGATTACTAGTTCAGCTGTACTCTGCATATATAGCATATGCTGGCCAGTGTTGGGCAGTGACGCAGCACTTAGTTACACACTAGTGATGGGATTACTTTTTTCATTGATAAGTTGTGTAAAGGATTACAATTTGAAGTTTAGTAATCACATTACATTTAGTCCATTTATCTATCCATTATCTTCTGCTTGGTGTCAGCGGGCCAAGCAACA